TCAATCTCAAGTGGGGGTAATTACCATAAAAGAAAATTGAATTCCAAGATATTTGGTTAGTATTACTACCATTAGAATGGATTTAAATCATTACTATTAGACACCAATAATGGGAACCTAACTTTGAATTAGTAACCTCTAATTACGAAGTTTAATGGGTAAAAACAAGTTATTGTTATGTATCTATTAAACACTAGTAAAATCTATTTAAATTTTAAAAACTAATGTGATCCATTGTGTTGGGAGGATAAATTTTTATACTCTTTAATGGAGTTTTAAATGTCTAAAGCAATGGAGACATAATAGAAACTTTACTTATATAAATATAGAAGTGGTACCACTTCAACAAAAAGAATTAAGGTCTCTTTTGTAAATATTTATGAATAGGATAAACACATGGCCATAATAGTGCTAAAAGCAGTTATAAACCTTTAATAGAAGAATAAATAAGTATTATGTGTATTATATCTTTAATTCTAACACTAGGAGTTAAGGTTTAATTTGCGAACACCATCAACTCTGTTAGAATTCTAAGATATATATGCTAATTAAATGTTTAAATTAAGAAATACCTTCTTGTATTCATCATATTTATTTGTGTGAAAGATAAAATTTAAGCACCAACATTCCAAATTAGTGAAGAATTGTTGGTAGTTTAGAATATGGTATATCCTACATTAAATAGAAAGATTTAATCATTGATAAACAAAATTAATTTTTGTATTAATTTTATTCATATTCTAAATAATTATATTTAAACAGAAATAATTATTAGATGACAAATGGTCATAGCTATTTGAATATAAATAGATTATTATTCATAAAAGTCATAATTATACAGAATGTTATAACCATTATAATTTCCTTTAAAAAAGTGTTTTTCATGCCTAAAAGCTAAAATTCTTTTTTATTATTTCTCTTCTCTTATTTATTTTTTTATAACAATTTCTCTTTATGTTGATAGAGTATTGGGGTGTTTTGAGAAATTTTCAACATAGTAGGCTCTTGTTTATCTTTCAAATAAAATAAATTCCGTTTATAATAATAAAAATAAAATTTTTTATGCCGCAATAAGACAAATTAAAAAAATTATTTTTAAATATCAAAATTAAGATTGCTTTTATCAAAATTGAATAATAATATATGATTAGTTGATACCATTTTTAAAATGGTTGTTGTGAGATGTTAATCTTTTTTCACATGCAATCGTACTTCCAAACTAGATTTATTTTTTGTAGATAAAAAAATATTCTTTTTAATAAATTTTAATTAATTTAAAATTTTATTAAAATGATAAATTTTTTTAGATGACCAATTATACCTAACTAAAAAAATTGATAACAACTCCCTAATTTAATTTTAAAATTTGGTTTAACTGATCGGATTTCTAAACCCACAAATTATAACACCTAGTCTAGGATTTGTCCCGTGAATAAATCTAATTCTAACTTCTTAGCTCTAATTAACTTACTTTCTCACGTATTTCTTCTTAGTTTTGTCAATATTGGCATGGCGAAGCTTTAACTTTGAGAGTTTGTCGCAACTACATATGTTAAACTCGAAGTAAAATCATTGAACCAATTCTCCAGTAATATTTAACAAAAAGAATGTCAAATAATAGAAGACTTAATTAACAAGCAATTGTATGAGGCTATTGTATCTTAGTTCTTGAATCATATTTTTCCTAATTTAGTTTAGAATTTTGTTAACATGTATTTTAAAGACATTTTTTAAGATTAGTTAAAATGCTTTTTTTTTTTTTTTTGGCATTTGATGTTGTCAAAGAATGTATTATATCATTGAAACTAAAAGCATACTAATAGATCATACTATTGTTAACGCTAAAATATTATTTATAGAAATAGTATTGTATTAAATGTGATAATTAACTATTAATTTTATGAAAAAAATTTTAATAGTATAAATTATTAATATAATAACCTTAAAAAGTATCTAAAATAAACTTGTTAACAAAATTCTTTAATTTATTGAACTTGTGCATAAAGGAGAGAATGTTTTAACAAATCCGAATTTGAACTCCACATCGAAACCTTGATTTGCTTTCTGAACTTGCTTCAATATGAAAAATATAATTATGATATCTGATAAATTTATAATTTAAATTTCTATACTTATAATTTTATATTTATCTTTAAGTTATGTTTTTTTTTTTTAAAAAAAATAATGGCTTCTGTATAACTATCAAATGAGTTCTCTGTTAAACATTTTTCTCTTTTTTAGCAATCTGCAGCTTGAATTCTCTCCTTCCAAATAAATTCTTTTCAGAAAAATTTGTATGTCAGCGTTTAAAATAGGTAAAAAAAATCAGTATTGGGAGCAGCAAATACATACTTAGTTTCCTGCTTTAGAATTAAAAACTCATTCATTTCTCACATTCTTACTGTAAAATTGATCTTTTTTGCTTATTCTAAGGCCATGTGAATTCTTTTTATAGAGGGATTTTGCATTGGTTGGTTGGAACAGAGCTGGCAAAAGTAAAAGCGAAGGCGCTTGAGTTGAATGAATGCTATAAAGGCTTCAGAGGAATAAACAGTGTAACGCGGAGGAGAGGGCACATGGGTTTAATCAATGCGTTCTCCTTCTCTCCATCACTGTCCTTTTCTCTCTCAACAAATTTTGCCTTTCATCATTTTCTTTTTGTTTCCCAGTAATGTTAAAATACTTCCTTGTTCGATTAATTATAACAATAAATAAATGAAACATGTTTATATGTATCAATTAACATGGATTAATGTCGATGTAATTAGGATTGTTAGATTGTGTATGCGATAAAATATTATTAGTTTTTTCTTCTGGCCAAAAGGTATTTATTAAAATTGAAATTAGCATATGGATCTGTTGAATTTATTGCATTAAATGAAAAAAAAATTTAGTTATTATTAATTAGTTTAAAAAGATAATAATAAATTTATTAACTTTTGTCCACTTTCGATGTCTAGAAAGAAGCACCACATCAAACCTTGTCAACTTGCTTTCATGATCCTAAATTTGTGTCCTTTGTAAGTAAGAAATTGGGTCATTTGGGACAAAAAAACTGGAACATTAATTAATGTACATGATAAAGATTCATTTGAGATTTATGTAAGTGTGATCGGCTATAAGGAGTTTTTCAGGTCTTCAAAAAGTGAATGATAAAGTTGTTTTGTTGTTTAATTCTTTTTCTTTTGGAAATGAAGGGGGAAACTGAAGAAAAAAAAAGCGAGTAGAAAATTTCACATCAAAATAATTTTCATTATAGGATCAAATCAAGAAAGAAAAGAAAAGTAACAGTATTGACCGCATCCTAAGCGGTAGAAATTGTAAGGTAATGAAATGATCGCATCTTAGGTTTCTTGTTTGGTCAAATATTACATCTTTTTAATCTGAATCATTCGTAAAAATAATAATAATAATAATAATTTTAATAAATTTAAATATTATTTTATATGATTTTTTATAAAATAATGTTATTTTTTTTTTTGTATTGTTATATTATGCAACGCCAATTTGAATATAAACAACTCAAATAAATTTTGCATTTGATTGCATTTTGTTCGAATAATAATATAATATATAAACAAGACAGTAAGAGTAAAGTATCCGTTAACATTTTATGTTATTTTGCAAGCAATGCCACTTATGCTATGGTAAAATTTCTTCTTTAACCCAAGATGGGAAACAATTTTGGTAAGCCTTTCAACCAACCCTCACCCTGTATCATCTCTAAACCTTGATTGCAGAATTAAATGCTTTGAGTTTCCATCTTTGAACGCAATTGAGAAGATTTGATACATAAAATAAATTTTAATCTCTGGCCAAACTGACCCACCCTTTTTGTCAGTGTAAAAGTCCTCCTAACATTTCTAAATTATAATATTACTATCCATCCTCATAAATTTTATTTTCCTCTCCTCAAACATTCAAACGATACTCCAAATCATATAAAAGTGTCAATTTCTAACAATTTAAAACGCCTCGATAACTGAAAAGATAAAATAATAGAAATAAAAAGTCCAAATTAAAAGAATGAAAGCTAAATAAAAATCAATTTTTAATTCAACAAGTGTCCTGACAAAGTTACAATAAAAAAAATATAATTTTTCAATGCGTTGAAATGATCAATTGTTGCTATTGAATACACAAGATAACAAAGCGACATAATATTAATTAACTTTAAAAAGTACTCTAAAAACATGATTCAGCAAAACTCAATAAAAAAATTAAATGTGAGATTTTTTTTTAACAAAAAGAAATTGCAATTTAAAAAATTACTAAAATTATAATTTGAAATTTAGATTTATTTAAATAATACCTCTTAAAAATTGATTATTTAATATAAACTTTAGGTTTAAATGACGGTTTGGCTCTCTATGTAGCTAGAACATGAGCGGTTTTTTGTTCATGAAATTTACCATATATTTGCCAAAATAATGAAAAATAACATGCTTGGTAGCATTCATTATTGAATTATTTTTGGAGTCAACTACATGAAGTTTTGCAAAATACATACTATGCCAAAATCCTAGTTTTCTCCCTCTCTGGCTCTTTCTTGTCTTGCACCCACCAGACATTTTTGTTTAATGTCATTTCTTCACTCTCCATCCATTATTACAAAATTTAGGATCTCAACCTAAATATAATTCTATACATACAAAATTCAAAAAAAAAAAAAAAAAGGACAAACAAAAGAAAAGAAAGAACAAACCTTCAACACGTATTTTTTTTATTTTCTAAAAATTCTAATTCTTTATTATTTGTTCTTTTGCTAAGAATCCCTATAAACACAAGAATCTACTTCACATGAACTTATTTTATATATACAATCGTCAACAATCTTGCAACACAAAATATAAAATTTTTAATTTCAATTATCATTGATAATCTCAAATAAAATAAAATAAAAACTTACTTTTTATAGTCTAAAAATATTGTATACATCATGTGAAAAAAAACATAAATGCACATTTTTATTTTCTAAAAAGGGTAATTAATTTCTTTTTTTTTCCTTGTTAACAATCCCTATAAACAGAAGAATCTACTTCACACAAACATATTAGCTTCATAATTATGGAATTAAGGTCATGATTAGTATTACCACGTTGGATTATTGAATAACCTGCAGCTGAATCGGAGCTCAATCTCATGAGTGAACTCGCTTCCTTGATTGACTCTGTCGATGTGATCAAATTAAGGTGCTTCAGTATGTAGCTATTGCCGACGAGTTGACTCAATATTACCGACTCGGATATTGCGTTCTTTTTCTTATGCTGCATTGTAGCTCTAACAATCTCAGTCAACATTGCATTGGCTAATCTTCGAATTCCCCTAGCTCCACCCATCAATAATCGATGAGTTATCCTGACTATCAGACTGAGTTTTCTCCGAGTTCCTCTTGCTTTGCTTGCCGGAGCTGCTTTCCTTGATCAATAAATAAACCGACTCGGAACTCCGATTCCTGACACGGCCGAGCGGATCACTCCATAACATCAAATTTTTAACATCCAACAACATTATATGCTTAAAATTTCGCCTGACTCTTCCTAATAGCATTGGATAACAAGCCCATCTTCTCAAACTCATTGGAACGTGATCTAAAAACCCGGCCAGCGAGTTCTCTGGATCCAACTCATTCACATCAAATCCCACAACCGAGCCATAAGTCAACCGAGTTGACTCACCTTCTGCTTCAGTTGAATTGCTATAATTCCATCGGCCTTTCTTTCCCCAAATAGGCTCTCCCACGTCTTTCTTCCCAGATTTCCAAAAATGGATCGAGTCGAAACTACAGACTGAGTCACGGAAACCATTATTATTCAACTCTTTGTAATGTTTAATAAGTTTCAAGAACGAGTCGTTCTCTTCCTGAATCACAAAGCTGAATTTTGAAGATAACGAAGGAGACCCAAAAAGGAAAACAGTGTCTGCTTTTGAAGTGACACCTGACCTATGCAAGACTCGTAAGAAAAGCCTGAGTTCATCTTCAGTCACATCTTCAACAACATGGCTAACTATAAGATCGTTCATGGCTTTTGTCCCACGCCTATACAAAGTTCCCATCCCCTGTAAAGCGAATGAAGAGGAAGAAACATTGGATTTTTGCATGAAATGCAGGGGCTTATAATCCCACATTGGAAAGAACCAATGTGAAGAAGAAAGTTGAGTTTTTTGGGATAAGAATCGACGAGATTTTTTGATGGAGGAGGAAGGGGTAGTTGGGTTAGGGATGGAGGGTTCAAAAGTAGAGAGAGTAAAGAGGAGAAGTGTAAGGAAAACTAAAAGAGCACAGATTGAAATGGTAGATTGAGCTTTGGTGAAAAGGAGACTGGAACTTGTTCTACGAATAAATCTTGATGTACTAGTGTTGTTATCAATGGAGTTGCTGATTTTGTTCCGGTCTTCAGGGAAGAACACGAGGAATAAACCCATACCCCTGTTTTCTTTGCTGCTGTTGAGGGTGTTTGGCTTAGCTGCTGCTGCTGTGAAACCCATGCCTCTTTGCCCTTTTTCACTCTGCTTTTTAGCTTTAAGTGGGAGGCTGTGTTTCGCAAGGACAAGCGAGGTAGGGCAGGGACTCATGATCGCGAGCCTAATACTGCTATTTGTCTTTTCCTAAACAGTTAATCTGATTCTTTTATTTGTTGTGTTATTTCACATTTATCAAGGGTTAATGCGGTGTGTATTGTCAACTGATTCGAGTAAAAAAAAAATTAATTGATCCAAATAATAAAAATTTAATTTTTTTAAATAAAATTTTTATTTTTATTTTTATGAATAAAAAAATAAATTTAAAAAAATTTACAAGATTGATTTAATTTGATTTCGAATTAATGAAAATTTAAAATAATTTTCGAATATTAAAAAATCTCAAAAAAAATCGGTGCGCAGCGAAAAATTTTCCAATATTGTATTAAATAAATATTTAATTATGTATCCAAACTTTGAACCAGAAATGCTAGCGGCAGCCGCATTATCCATCTCCCTTCAACACTCAAATTCTGCAGTAAGCCACACCATCTCATTTTTTTTTTTTTTTTAACTCAAAAATGGAACCAAATGCTCAGGTAAAATTATCTTCTTTGTCTACTCCCAAGCCAAGTCCCATCTAAAAAATTTCGCAAGGACTAAAACGCCATTCACGCTATCCTATTGAAGATTTCAAAATGTAAAATTATTGTTGTTATTTTCTCAATTAATTTTGAATTAAGCAAAATAATTGTTTTTTTTATGAATGTTATCATAATTAATTTCTTTAATCTTTATAATTGTAGGAAAAAAATTAAATATAATATTTTCCCTCTATCTTTTCTCTTAAAATATTTTTGTAATTTTGCTTTGGACTATATAAAATATTCACCCATGTATACTTATTATACAAACATTCATATAGATAATCATTTTAATTATAACTTATATTATACAAAATTTCTAACTTTATGTTACTTAAAATAATTTATAATAACTCAACCATTTAGCTCAATAATGTTAAAAAAATTTAGATTCAAATTCATTTTTTAAAATAAAAATTAATAATAATGTATAATAAATACTATAAATACTTTTTGTAATTAAATTTTGAAAACTAATACCAAGTATTGAATAACTAGTATTATATTTATAACAATTTCAACCAAAATAGTAATTTTTTAAAAAATTATTATTACATTTGTTACTTGCCATATATTTTGTTACATTTTGTTATTAACTTATTGATAATATTATACTTAGATTCACAATTTTACTCTATTTTTTTTTAAAATTTTGTAGCTTACACAAACGCATATATAAATATAGAGAAACATAAAAAATAATGATTAAGTAAAATATATAATATATAAATATTTATATAAAAAATACTGTTATTTTCTTAGTTTAATGCCTGATTTTAATCAAATTTACTTTACCTGTTGGCTGAGGTAGTGTGGATCCTGTGGGATCATAAATTTGAAATGTTGGAAAATTTTTTATTACCATCTATCAAGTGAAATTGTACGTCAAATTACTTTAAGCCTTACCGTCATGATAACCAATAAAAAATTTAACACATGTACAAATAATATCATGTCAACGAAAACCATTCAAATTTATACGCGTCGAAACATAAGATAAATGTTAGATTTTGTTGTTTGACAATTAAAAATAAAAGTTTATAAAATAAACTTTAATTTTTTTAAAAAATAAAATTGTATTTTAAAAAATTATAAAATTGTCTTTTTTTCACATTTAAAATTTTTTTTTGAAAAAAATTAAAAAAGAAAAAATTGCAAAAAAATTTAAAAGAAAAACTGAAATAAATTTTTTTTCATTTTATATTTATATAGCCCATTTAATCATTTCTCTGACAAGGTTTAAATTATTTTAGTAATGATAATTAAATATAACATAATTTTTTTTAAGTTTCTAATATCTTTTTAAAATTTTTTATTGTATTATATCTATGACTGAAAAAAATATTATGTATTTAAATTTTTTTGAATTCATGACTTTTAAATATCAATTTTAATAATATCACAATTGATATCTTTTATGCTAAAAGTGGAAGAAAAAAATATATAAAAGAAGTTCATAAGTAGCAACTCAGATCACATATTTGCATATCTTATCCTTATAAAGAATCATTTAACTTCCTTGAGGTGCACCAATTTTAGATTGATAGATGCATTTTTGGAATATTTTGCCCCATCTTATAGTTTGGACCATTATTTATTTAATTTTTTGTTTGATAACGTTCTAAGAATTTCTAAAACATTAAATCCGTACCTTACATATTATTCACATTAATAACAAAATATTTTTCTAACATTCTTTCTTACTACCAAGTCACAACCAGAGGAAAAGTATACTGTTTTTTTCCTCATTTTCTTAATTTATGAAATTTACTCTTCAAAAAAATTTCTCAAATAAAATTTGACAATTATTAATATTATTGTAAATGTCAGGAAAAATACTATAGACTCAAATAAAGCATGAGAATAATCCCCATCACATCACTAAAAAAATTTAAAAGGATTCTCTCCAAAACGCTCTACTTTTGTTGTTGAAGTCATTAAATATTTTTTTTAATTATATGTGTATAAATATAAATATAAATATTTTATTTGATGTATGTCAGATAACATTTTGGAAATGATTTTATCTTCATTTTATAATGACGCATGTACGTACAAAAATGAAAATATTGAAAAGTTTTTAGTTAATCAAAAATTAATTATAGCTTTTATTCCCTGCTTTTAAATTAAAAATCTAGGTTATAATGGGAAAAAGTTGGTTTTAAATTAATTAAGATTTTATTTGATAAATTGAATAATTTAACATTAATGGGAAAAAGTTTAAATATTGAATTTTTTAAAAAAAAACATAAAAATATTGAACCTATGATATAATTTTTTTTGATTTGTTACTGAAAATTAAATATTTAGTAGATTTTTATTAATCTTTTATAAAAGAAAAATATGTTTCAAAATTATTTTTAATTGATAAAAGTTAAAAAATAAATGATTAAAAATATAAAGTTAATATAATTAAATAGTATTTATTTTCTTAAATAAATTAACTTAATGCCACTCCCAATCTCTAAGTGGACCATTCTGTCGGGAAGAATCAATGAACAACGACCGCCACAGAGTTTGCCAATTCATGGCCATGCCATTATTAGTTAATTAATATCCATCGTACCAAAATGCCATGCATCACCGACATACATCGCCGCGAAATCGGAAAAATTCACCCAAAATGCTTTAATTACTATTTGTTACGACATTGAAAGTACATATATCAATAAATAACTATATATAAATATTAAAATAATATTTTATTCAAAATTTAGAGATCACTGTTATTTATTTATTATTTTATAATATTATTATTTTAAATATTATTGTAAAATAAAAACAAATAGAAAGTAAAATCATGACTAATTAAAAGTAAATTAATGACTAAAATGTACTACTCCACCAATTTTAAGGAAATTATTTTTATATACAAAGTAATTTGTTCTCTTATAAACTTTTAAAAGTAAGTACCGAAAATAACTAATAAACACCATTTTGTTGTGTTTTTCTAGAGAGACATTTTACGGATTAAATTTTGAAATTTCATTTTATTATTTAAAGTTAAATTTAATAATTTATGTATTTTTATTTATTTATTTTATATATAATATGTATAAAATAAAAATATGATATTATAATTTATATTTAAATTATAATATTTTTTTATTTTTATTATAAAATTTTATATTATGTTATTATATTATATTATTATATGATGTTTAAAATTATAAAATATTTAAATTTTAAGTGAGTATATTGAATGAAAAACAATCAGAAAATAAGTGAAAATGCTATGCATGAATAAATTATAAAAAAAAAAAAAAAAAGTAAAAATTTATGCCGAGAACTTCAGATATGAAATGGTCGATGGGTTTCTGACACCGTATAGATGGCAAAAATATCGTACTCCTAAGAGTACAACTGTCTGTAGGGTCTGAAACGACATTGTCATAAACTGCAGCGACAAGCACCACCATTCAATTCTAGCACCACTATAATCTAACCTTAGATTCCTAAAAGCTGAATACAAGTAAGGCCCGTGGATGATAATCTCCGTCTGATTTTTATTTAATTTATTGATTTCCATTGACTCTTCATAATCATACTATCGGTATCAGCCACCGAACCTAGCCCCACACCTCAGCTCAGGTTGCTTAAAATGATTTGATCACTGTTCGATTCGTCTCCGTTTTCGAAAAAAATTGATTAATTTATAAATTTTTTATTTTCAAAATCAAATCGAAAACTATCTATAATTAAATCAATGTAAACCAAAATTTATTGATTTAAATTGATTCGATCCTTCGATTTTTACGGATTAGGTATTTGTTTTTAATATTATTTTAATTTTTTTATATAAATTTAAAAATAAAAATAATATTTTATTTTATAAAAGTTAAAAAGTACTATAAAAAATAGTTATGCTAAAAAAATTTTAATTTTAATTAGCCTTATTAAATGGGGGTGTGAGAAGCTCGTGGGTGATGCTGTGTTTGGGCGTTGAATTGAAAGAGGCAACTGGTAAAACAAAGATCTGACGGGCAAGATTGTCTGAGAGATAATGGAAAATGGAGATGGAAATGGGTCCTATCCTCTCCTGTGGTCCTGGTGATTGTGTTTGGTGTGTTAACGGGGGATAGCATGTGGATCTAATTCTAAAACGGAAGTTTCTATGAAAGCAAAAGACACGTGCTGCTTATGCTTGACTAGTTTGTAGCAGTAACGTTGGAAAATGAAATTATTTGGCTGTATTCCTCTACTTAATTCCATAATATTATGTGTTTAGGTATGTTTCTCATTAAAATGGTCGGTTTTCTTTTTATTTGTCCCCCATATTTCTTAAATTTATTATAAAAATATAAAATTAAAAAGTTTTACATTAATATTAATTAATTTATTTTTTAAAAAATTATTAATATAAATTTATCAATTTCAATCCCAAACTATTTTAATTCAAATTCATTTATACTTAAATTAAATTAATTTTAAAATTTAACAATTTAAATTTAAATATTCGAATTTAAATAA